CCCCACGGCGGGGGCCGGGACTCTGTCCCGCCCCGGGGCGGAGAGAACCGCGCCCCCGTGTCCGCCCTGTCGCGTCCGCCCACGCCATGGCCGCCCGCTACCTCCGCGCCGCCCCGGCGCTGAGCCGCCTGTCCCGCCGCCCGCTCCCCGCCGCCTGCGCGGGGCAGCGCCGGCACTGTGAGTGGGGGGGCCCGGGGGCGGGGGGAGAGCCTCGTGTCCTTGGGGCTGCGCACGCCACGAGGGGGGTGTGCTCCAGACCCACGGGGAGGCGAGTCGGATTCTTTTGCGGGCCGATGTCTGGAATTGGATCCGGATCCACGCTTGCTGACAGTCCCGGGGGGGGGTGTCTGCGGACCCACGCCGGATTTTGTAGCTGGGTCTGGTCCCAGGGGGTTTGGTCCCGGTTCCACGAAGGATTTTACAGATGAGTTTGGTCGCGGGGGGAGTTTGGTCCCAGGGGGATTTGGTCCATGTTCCATGCCGCGTTTTGCACCTCCGCTTGTACCCGGTCGGAGCCTTGGGGTTCCGTTCCTGCTCCCAGACCCACACGGGGTTTTGCCGCCCGATTTGCCCCCCTGGAAGGTTCACTCCTGCTCCTGCTCCCGCTCCAGCTGCCGCTCCCAGCTCCACGTAGAGTTTTGCAGACCGTCAGCGCTCAGGTCCCGCCCAGGTGGGGGGGGTCACCTCTGGTCTGGGTCCCACGTGAGGTTTTACAGCCCGACCCGCAGCCAAGTTTTTGGCACCCAGAGGTATTTAGTCCCGGTCCAGGAGCCAGGCAGGGATTTGTACCCCGTTTTGTGCCTGGGCCTGGCTCCAGGGGGCTTGCACCTGGTCCTGGTTCTGGTCCTGGTCTCAGTCTCACCGGGGCGTTGCAGCCCAGCTTGCGCATGGGTCCCACCCCAAGAGGGATGTGCACCTGTCCCTGTCCCACTGCCATGGGGCATTTTGCACCCTGACCCCTGCCACAGCAGTGTTGGACCCACGAACTGGCCCGGACCCCAGCAGGGTTTGCCCCCGACCTGTAGCTGTTCCTGAGCTGGGGTGGCACCCGCACTTGGCCGGATGGGGCTGTGTGGTCCCCGCAGGACGCCCTGGCCACACACCAGGGTGAGGAGCTGTGGGGCCAGGGGTGCACCCCTAACACCCTCCAGCTGCTCCCCAGATGCTGACAAGCGGATTAAGGTGGCCAACCCAGTGGTGGAGATGGATGGGGACGAGATGACGAGGATCATCTGGGCCTTCATCAAGGAGAAGGTGATGGGGTCCTGGCCTGGGAATGGGTGGGTGTGCCACAAGCGAAGCTGAGGAGGTTGTATGGGGAACAAGTGGTGCCTGTGCTGGTCTCCGTCTGTCCCTCCCACCTCCGTCCCTCTGTCCGCAGGAAGCAGGTGGTAAAATCAGCGCAGCTTCCGGAAGGCCTGGAAGGGAGAGGGTCCCAGGGAGGCGGGACTGTTCTGGGCGGGGAGGCCCATCCCACGCAAGGAGGCCCATCCCAGGCAGAGGGGATCATCCTGGCCGGGGGGGATGGTTCCTGGCAGGCAGCTGGGCTGTGCTGGGGTGGGTGCTGGGACTGGCTGTGCAAGGGTGCTGCTCCCCAGGCACCCCACATTGTCACCCTGCTCTGATGCTCTTCCGGCCCCCCAGCTCATCCTGCCCAACGTGGATGTCCAGCTGAAGTACTTCGACCTGGGACTGCCACACCGGGACAAGACAGATGACCAAGTCACCATTGACTCGGCACTGGCCACCCAGAAGTACAGTGTGGCTGTCAAGTGTGCCACCATTACGCCCGACGAAGCCAGGGTGGAAGGTGGGCAGGGGTGAGGGGCCGAGTTCCCACCACAGTGTGGGGTGCTGGCAGCTCCATGGAGTGCTGAGCCCCCTGTCTGTGTGCAGCCCCTCAGGGTCAGCAGTGCCTCCCCCCTGCCAGCTCAGGTTTCTGGTGGGCTGGGGGATGCACCATGCTCAGCGCTGTGCCTCCCTCCCCATCCTGGGGGGCTTGTGGGTGCTGTGGGGACCCCACGGGCATGGGGCTGGGGGACAAACTGCCCCATGCCAGTCAGTTCTGCGCTGGCTGTCCCACCCCTTGGCCAGCCCAGCACCTAGTCAGCCCACAGCACGGTAGAGTGGGGGCTGGCAGGGGCTGGGTTCTTCTGGGGGCCTGGGGGTCCTTGAGGGTCTCACCTCTACATGTCCCACAGAGTTCAAGCTGAAGAAGATGTGGAAGAGCCCCAATGGCACCATTCGAAACATCCTGGGGGGGACGGTGTTCCGAGAGCCCATCATCTGCAAGAACATCCCCCGGCTGGTGCCCGGCTGGACCAAGCCCATCACCATCGGCCGCCATGCCCACGGCGACCAGGTGAGCCTGGTGCAGGGGCTGGCGGCGTGGGGATGTCCAGCAGCTCCTGTGGCCACTGCCTGATGCTCTGCCCGGCCCCCCACAGTACAAAGCCACTGACTTCGTGGTGAGCAAGTCTGGGACGTTCAAGATGGTCTTCACGCCGAAGGATGGCAGTGGGGCCAAGGAGTGGGAGGTGTTCAACTTCCCCGGTGGCGGCGTGGGCATGGGCATGTACAATACAGATGAGGTACCGGTGGGGCTGGAGGGGTCCCTGCGGGGCAGCGTGCCCTGCCACCCTGGGGAAGCTGCCAGGCGGGGGGTCAGGGTCCCAGGGGGTCTGTGCACTTCCCATGCAGTCCATCTCGGGCTTCGCGCACAGCTGCTTCCAGTACGCCATCCAGAAGAAGTGGCCACTCTACCTGAGCACCAAGAACACCATCCTCAAGGCCTATGACGGGCGCTTCAAGGACATCTTCCAGGAGATCTTTGATAAGTATGGACCTGGGGGGCTTGGGCTGCTGTGGGGGGTTGCCCAGGAGGGGCTGGCAGGAGGACTCACCTGGGGTGGACACAGTTGACCCCCAGCCTGGGCTCCCAGGCACTACAAGACTGAGTTTGACAAGCTGAAGATCTGGTACGAGCACCGGCTCATTGACGACATGGTCGCCCAGATGCTGAAATCCTCTGGCGGCTTCGTCTGGGCCTGCAAGAACTACGACGGGGATGTCCAGTCAGACATCCTGGCACAAGGTGGGGCAGTAGGAGAGGACAGGTGGGGGTGGGCTATGTGTGCTCACCCTCACAGAGCCACCCTGACCCCTGTCTTGCTGCAGGGTTCGGCTCCCTGGGGTTGATGACCTCCGTCCTGGTGTGTCCGGATGGGAAGACCATCGAGGCTGAGGCCGCCCACGGCACTGTCACCCGCCACTACCGGGAGCACCAGAAGGTGGGTGTGCTCTGCCGGCAGGACCTGCCTGTGCCAGGCCCACAGTGCGGTGCCCACACCAGACAACTGACCGCTCTCTCCATGCAGGGACGACCCACCAGTACCAACCCCATTGCCAGCATCTTCGCCTGGACGCGTGGCCTGGAGCACCGGGGCAAGCTGGACAGTAACCCCGACCTCATCAAGTGAGCAGGGTGGGGTGGGGGTCCCTGGGGTGAGGGTCCCTGCCAGCAGCTGCCCCAGGCACAGCTGTGGCAGGGTCTGGTGCTGGCTGTGCTGGAGCTGCGGCGCTGCCACCCCCAGGTTTGCACAGACGCTGGAGAAGGTCTGTGTGGACACCGTGGAGGGCGGAACGATGACGAAGGATCTCGCCGGCTGCATCCACGGCCTCGCCAAGTACGGGTGACTCTGGGGGTGGAGCAGGGGGGAGGCAGCCGTCTGCACCAGGGCAACGTGGCTGCACGGGTGACCACAAGGGCGGGCTGTCCCCGCAGGGCAACCACGAGGGCAGGCTGGCCCTGCGCAGTGGCCACAGGCAGCTGCTGGTCTCTGGAAAGTCCCTGGGGACTTGGGGTGTCTATTCGCAGCTGGTGGGGTTGGACAAGGGTCACATCTCACAACTCAGGGCTGTGCTGCCTGTGAGGGGAGGTGGGCAGGGATCCCCCCCCCAACCCCTCTCTGTCCCCACAGTGTGAAGCTGAATGAGCACTTTGTGAACACCACAGACTTCCTCGACGCCATCAAGAACAACTTGGACAAGGCCCTGGGCAAGAAGTAGGGGGCAGGAAGCCCCTGCTGTTCCCAGGATGGATAGGGCAGGGAGGGGCCCAGTGCCACCCCCAGCTCCCTGACACTCCTCAAGAACAGATGAATCATTTTTATAAGCAGTTTTCTTATGAGTGTTTTTAAAGCCTTTGTAGCAGAAGTTGTAGGGCTGGGGGGGGGTCTGTCCTGAACTGATTCATGTATTCCATAACTCTGTGGTGCCATTAAACACCTCCCCAGCCATGGCACATAGTAGCACAGCTCTGCAGTGTGGGCATGGGGGGCACAGGGAGTACCAGACCCCTCGGCTCAGCCTCGCCAGCCTGGAAGGCCGTGTGCCCCAGCATTTTGGCACTGGCCTGAGGTAGCGTGTGGGGGTCCACACTGGCTAGGGGAACAGCCCTGCCATGCTGAGGAGAGGTCTGGGCTGGCCAAGGCTGTGGCCATCTCCATCCTGCCCCCAGGCTGGATGATGTTGCAGGGGAGGAGGTGTATGGCAAGGGTGGTAGGCACACTGCCTTGTGGGGAGGCTGAGTGGGGCCACCTCCAGAGCCAGCCCAGGGCTTCTGGGGATGGGGCACATGGTGCCCAGCCCCAGGGAGCACAGCCAAGGGCACAAAGTGGGTGGGGGGGTCAGCACGGGGGTCCCAAACCCTGTGCTCTGGCTGGACCCCAGGTCCTGATGTCTACCAGGACCCTCTCCAGCTCTGGGAACACTTGGGGGAAATGATATGGGTGCTGCCAACCCCAATCCCACAGCAGGGAGGGTGCGGAGCCCAGATAGCAGTCCTGGACCCAGCATTGCCCCAGCTGCTTCCTCCCTAATCCCTGGGCATGGAGGAGGCAAACCCCCACCTCTGTCCAAGCAAGAACCTTTTCCTGAACCCTAGAGCAGCTGAGGGGCAAGGAGGGGGTGCCAGTTTGTTCTCAGGCCCCCGCAGCCCCCCTGGCTCCCAGCACAGACCACACAGCTTACACGGGTTTACAAAGCACATTGGTTGAAGGGAACTGAACTCGGTGAAAAGATAAATCCAACCACGCGGCACATCTGAAAAAAATAAATTACTTTCAAAATACCATCATTTGCTGGGGCTGGGCTGGGTTTGCCTCCCCTGGATATGCCGCTGGCTGCAGCTCTGGACCCCGAGCTGTGGGCACCGACTGCGCCCTGAGCTTCTATGAAAATACTCTGTTCTGTGCCCCAGAGCCTGGCACAGGGAGCCCCAGGGTGAGCAGGAGGGCACACCCACCTCCTCCCACGGACAGGGGCTTCTGCCCCCTGGGGAGCCCGGGGGGAGCTCCAGCACACCCGAGGGGGGACCCAGGAGGTAGAATAGTTAGTGATGCTCATCATCTTGCCCCACTGTGGCCCCTTCCACCCTAACCCATTCAGTGATTTTCTGGGTTGTGCCTCCCCTGCCCGCAGTTTCAAGTCGCCGGGCGCGGGGCGCGGGCAGGGGGGCAGCAGCGGAGCCACGGCAGGTCCGGCAAAGGCTTCTGGACATCCCTGTGTTCTCCAACCCCAGCAGGAGCACCACCTCCAGTTCTAGGGGGTCTGGCTGGATGCCGCAGCCCCTCTCACCCTGCCAAGCCCCCACAGCCCTGCCAGCCCCGGCTACAACATGTTGTAGTACGCCATCTCCTTCATGGCCTGCTCGGCCAGCGCGTGCTCGTCCGGGGGGTTGCCCACTGCCCCGTAGCTGTAAGAGTTCTCCTCCTCAAAGTCGTCCATCTCCTGCTGCCCATCCAGCTCGGCGTGGTCGGGCCCGGCCAGCTCCATCATGGCATCTAGGAGTCAGCACAGGGACACGCGGTGACAGACCTGTGGGGAGGGCTGGGCCAGCAGCTCCCCCCTCCCTGGGTTTGGAGCCCAAAGCTCCCTGGGAGCCCTAGCCCTGCTCAATCCAGGCCACTTGTGGGGGCAGCCCTTGGGTGAGGAGACATGAACTTGCCACAGCTGCCACAACACAGCCCAGCTCCCGGAGCCACTGGCACTGCTGGGGGCAGCCACAGTGCCCAGTCCGCACTGGGGACCCACCTTGGCTGTCCAGGCTGATGTCCATCACCCCATGCTTGACCTTCATGTGCCGGCTGAGGTTGCCCTTCAGGTTGAACTTGCTGGAGCAGTAGGGACACTTGAAGGGCTTGCTGCCGGCGTGCAGGTGCATGTGCCCCAGTAGGTTGTACATGCGGTTGAAGGACTTCCCACAGACCTGCCAGCAGCATGCCCATGGTCAGCCGGGGCTCCTCAGCACGGGGGGGCACCCCCAGAGCTGCCAAGGGCTCTGCAGAGCAGACCTTGCCCCAAAGGTTCCCCATGCCTCCCTCCAAGAGTAAAGGGGCTGCTGCCCCCCTGGGGTCCCTTGTGGCTCCTGCCACATGCCCTCCTCCCCCTCTGTGTGGGGGGCTTGGGGATGCAGTGCTGGCGCTGGGAGCTCCAGAGCATCCAACACTGATCAGAGAGAGGCAGTGGTTGTCCTTCCATCAGCAGCACTGCTCCCACCACAGCTTGGAGCAGATATTCCATGCCGAAGCAAGCAGGGGAGGCATCACAAATCTGCTTCCAGTGCCCGACAGCTCAGCCTGGCCAGATTCCCAGGGGTATTGCACAAAAGGACCATTCTCCCCCTCCCTGGCTCTGCCAGCCCCCCAGTCCCGCCGGTACCTTGCACTTGAATGGCTTCACAGGCGAGTGCACGATCATGTGGGTCTTGAGCGTCTGCTTCTGCACGAAGGTCTTGAAGCAGATGTGGCACTGGTAGGGGCGGACACTGGTGTGGATCAGCATGTGCCGCTTCATGTTGGCCTGGAGCGTGAACTCCCGCCCGCACACCTCGCACTTGAACTCCTTCACACCCTGCCAGGGGTGGGAGAGCTGTGGACAGGGGCTTGACAAGACCCCCAGGTGCCGGGGGCACATGGGCAGTGCTGGGCATGGAGCGGGGACACCATGGGTGAGGGATGGGCTCCTTGTGCTGAGAGCATGGCCCACCCTGAGCCCAGCAGCATGCAGGGGCTGTGGGTGGGGGCTGAACAGGCTCTGTCCCAGCTCTGGTCTGTGGTTCAGCCCCATGAAAGAGCCTCTGGAAAAGGGCAAATCCCCACTTACAGCCCACCCAGAGGGCCTGTGGCAACTCCTGGCCAGGGTCCCCCTGGGTCACCCTGCAGTAGGTCTGAAACTCCCTCCCCAAGGATGGGAATACACAGAAGGACAGAGGCTGGGTCCCAGGGACCCCAGCAACACCAGCCACAGGTGCCACTGCCCACTCACCACCCATCTCCTCCCAGGCCTGGCCAGGGCTGCAGGACATTGGGACACCCCTTTCCCCCAGCACCCGCATCTAGAGCACGGCAAGGGCAGCACCCCCGGGGATCCCCAGGCCCTACCTTGTGCGTGAGCGAGTGCTGCTTGAGGTGGTGGATCTGGCTGAACTCCATCCCACACTCTGTGCAGACAAAGGGCCGGACGTTCTGGTGCTTCAGCATGTGGTTCTGCAGCTGGCTGCGGTAGTGGAAGGATTTGCTGCACTCCAGGCACTGGTAGAGCGTGGGGCCCTGGTGTGTGGCCAGGTGTCGCTTCAGCTGGGTGAGCGTGGAGAAATCCAGCCCGCACTCCACGCACACGTGGCAGCGCCCACTCTCGTGCTTCACCTCGTGCGCCTTCAGCTCGCTGGGGTAGGCAAAGCCACGGCCACAGAAGCGGCAGCTGTAGGGCTTGATGTCAGTGTGCAGCAGCATGTGCCGCTTCAGGTGGCTGGTCTGGGTGAAAGCTTTGCTGCACACCCCGCACTTGTGGGGCCGCGTGCCCTGGTGGGTCAGCAGGTGGGTCTGCAGGTGGCTGGGCTGCTTGAACAGCTTGTTGCAGTGTGGGCAGGAGTGGGGCTTGATGCCATTGTGGCCCAGGATGTGGGTCACCAGGTTGTACTTGGAGGTGTAGGACTTCTCGCACATGCGGCACTGCCAGCGCTTCTGGCGGTCCCCGGCCTCCACCAGGTAGGAGTCGTCGATCTGCACGTTTATGTCCAGCCGGTCCAGCTGCGCCTTCCTGCTGCGCTCACTGGTGCCACCGGCCACCTCTGCCTCCAGCTCCCCTGGCTCCTGCCAGCCACAGCCCTGCTCGCTCTTCACCTGCTCGGAGTCCCCTGGCGCAGGGGCCTCCACCTCACCAGGGGACGGGGCGCCCGCCTCGAACGTGCCTGTGGTCCGCAGGGCCCCCGCGGGGCCGCCGTCTGGGTCACCGCCCCCGCGGCGCCGCTCGGTGCCCTCCAGCTCCCGGTGCCGCCGCAGGTGCCGCAGGCGCCGGGGCTTCCTGCTGAAGGTGCCCAGGTCAATCATCTTCATGGCACCGCTATGCACTGCCGGCTCCTGGCCGGGCTCTGGGGGCTGGGGCGGGTGGCCTCGCTGCCCCTCGCCTTCGTCGTCCCCGGGGACGGACGTGTCGNTGTCCCCGCAGGGCAACCACGAGGGCAGGCTGGCCCTGCGCAGTGGCCACAGGCAGCTGCTGGTCTCTGGAAAGTCCCTGGGGACTTGGGGTGTCTATTCGCAGCTGGTGGGGTTGGACAAGGGTCACATCTCACAACTCAGGGCTGTGCTGCCTGTGAGGGGAGGTGGGCAGGGATCCCCCCCCCAACCCCTCTCTGTCCCCACAGTGTGAAGCTGAATGAGCACTTTGTGAACACCACAGACTTCCTCGACGCCATCAAGAACAACTTGGACAAGGCCCTGGGCAAGAAGTAGGGGGCAGGAAGCCCCTGCTGTTCCCAGGATGGATAGGGCAGGGAGGGGCCCAGTGCCACCCCCAGCTCCCTGACACTCCTCAAGAACAGATGAATCATTTTTATAAGCAGTTTTCTTATGAGTGTTTTTAAAGCCTTTGTAGCAGAAGTTGTAGGGCTGGGGGGGGGTCTGTCCTGAACTGATTCATGTATTCCATAACTCTGTGGTGCCATTAAACACCTCCCCAGCCATGGCACATAGTAGCACAGCTCTGCAGTGTGGGCATGGGGGGCACAGGGAGTACCAGACCCCTCGGCTCAGCCTCGCCAGCCTGGAAGGCCGTGTGCCCCAGCATTTTGGCACTGGCCTGAGGTAGCGTGTGGGGGTCCACACTGGCTAGGGGAACAGCCCTGCCATGCTGAGGAGAGGTCTGGGCTGGCCAAGGCTGTGGCCATCTCCATCCTGCCCCCAGGCTGGATGATGTTGCAGGGGAGGAGGTGTATGGCAAGGGTGGTAGGCACACTGCCTTGTGGGGAGGCTGAGTGGGGCCACCTCCAGAGCCAGCCCAGGGCTTCTGGGGATGGGGCACATGGTGCCCAGCCCCAGGGAGCACAGCCAAGGGCACAAAGTGGGTGGGGGGGTCAGCACGGGGGTCCCAAACCCTGTGCTCTGGCTGGACCCCAGGTCCTGATGTCTACCAGGACCCTCTCCAGCTCTGGGAACACTTGGGGGAAATGATATGGGTGCTGCCAACCCCAATCCCACAGCAGGGAGGGTGCGGAGCCCAGATAGCAGTCCTGGACCCAGCATTGCCCCAGCTGCTTCCTCCCTAATCCCTGGGCATGGAGGAGGCAAACCCCCACCTCTGTCCAAGCAAGAACCTTTTCCTGAACCCTAGAGCAGCTGAGGGGCAAGGAGGGGGTGCCAGTTTGTTCTCAGGCCCCCGCAGCCCCCCTGGCTCCCAGCACAGACCACACAGCTTACACGGGTTTACAAAGCACATTGGTTGAAGGGAACTGAACTCGGTGAAAAGATAAATCCAACCACGCGGCACATCTGAAAAAAATAAATTACTTTCAAAATACCATCATTTGCTGGGGCTGGGCTGGGTTTGCCTCCCCTGGATATGCCGCTGGCTGCAGCTCTGGACCCCGAGCTGTGGGCACCGACTGCGCCCTGAGCTTCTATGAAAATACTCTGTTCTGTGCCCCAGAGCCTGGCACAGGGAGCCCCAGGGTGAGCAGGAGGGCACACCCACCTCCTCCCACGGACAGGGGCTTCTGCCCCCTGGGGAGCCCGGGGGGAGCTCCAGCACACCCGAGGGGGGACCCAGGAGGTAGAATAGTTAGTGATGCTCATCATCTTGCCCCACTGTGGCCCCTTCCACCCTAACCCATTCAGTGATTTTCTGGGTTGTGCCTCCCCTGCCCGCAGTTTCAAGTCGCCGGGCGCGGGGCGCGGGCAGGGGGGCAGCAGCGGAGCCACGGCAGGTCCGGCAAAGGCTTCTGGACATCCCTGTGTTCTCCAACCCCAGCAGGAGCACCACCTCCAGTTCTAGGGGGTCTGGCTGGATGCCGCAGCCCCTCTCACCCTGCCAAGCCCCCACAGCCCTGCCAGCCCCGGCTACAACATGTTGTAGTACGCCATCTCCTTCATGGCCTGCTCGGCCAGCGCGTGCTCGTCCGGGGGGTTGCCCACTGCCCCGTAGCTGTAAGAGTTCTCCTCCTCAAAGTCGTCCATCTCCTGCTGCCCATCCAGCTCGGCGTGGTCGGGCCCGGCCAGCTCCATCATGGCATCTAGGAGTCAGCACAGGGACACGCGGTGACAGACCTGTGGGGAGGGCTGGGCCAGCAGCTCCCCCCTCCCTGGGTTTGGAGCCCAAAGCTCCCTGGGAGCCCTAGCCCTGCTCAATCCAGGCCACTTGTGGGGGCAGCCCTTGGGTGAGGAGACATGAACTTGCCACAGCTGCCACAACACAGCCCAGCTCCCGGAGCCACTGGCACTGCTGGGGGCAGCCACAGTGCCCAGTCCGCACTGGGGACCCACCTTGGCTGTCCAGGCTGATGTCCATCACCCCATGCTTGACCTTCATGTGCCGGCTGAGGTTGCCCTTCAGGTTGAACTTGCTGGAGCAGTAGGGACACTTGAAGGGCTTGCTGCCGGCGTGCAGGTGCATGTGCCCCAGTAGGTTGTACATGCGGTTGAAGGACTTCCCACAGACCTGCCAGCAGCATGCCCATGGTCAGCCGGGGCTCCTCAGCACGGGGGGGCACCCCCAGAGCTGCCAAGGGCTCTGCAGAGCAGACCTTGCCCCAAAGGTTCCCCATGCCTCCCTCCAAGAGTAAAGGGGCTGCTGCCCCCCTGGGGTCCCTTGTGGCTCCTGCCACATGCCCTCCTCCCCCTCTGTGTGGGGGGCTTGGGGATGCAGTGCTGGCGCTGGGAGCTCCAGAGCATCCAACACTGATCAGAGAGAGGCAGTGGTTGTCCTTCCATCAGCAGCACTGCTCCCACCACAGCTTGGAGCAGATATTCCATGCCGAAGCAAGCAGGGGAGGCATCACAAATCTGCTTCCAGTGCCCGACAGCTCAGCCTGGCCAGATTCCCAGGGGTATTGCACAAAAGGACCATTCTCCCCCTCCCTGGCTCTGCCAGCCCCCCAGTCCCGCCGGTACCTTGCACTTGAATGGCTTCACAGGCGAGTGCACGATCATGTGGGTCTTGAGCGTCTGCTTCTGCACGAAGGTCTTGAAGCAGATGTGGCACTGGTAGGGGCGGACACTGGTGTGGATCAGCATGTGCCGCTTCATGTTGGCCTGGAGCGTGAACTCCCGCCCGCACACCTCGCACTTGAACTCCTTCACACCCTGCCAGGGGTGGGAGAGCTGTGGACAGGGGCTTGACAAGACCCCCAGGTGCCGGGGGCACATGGGCAGTGCTGGGCATGGAGCGGGGACACCATGGGTGAGGGATGGGCTCCTTGTGCTGAGAGCATGGCCCACCCTGAGCCCAGCAGCATGCAGGGGCTGTGGGTGGGGGCTGAACAGGCTCTGTCCCAGCTCTGGTCTGTGGTTCAGCCCCATGAAAGAGCCTCTGGAAAAGGGCAAATCCCCACTTACAGCCCACCCAGAGGGCCTGTGGCAACTCCTGGCCAGGGTCCCCCTGGGTCACCCTGCAGTAGGTCTGAAACTCCCTCCCCAAGGATGGGAATACACAGAAGGACAGAGGCTGGGTCCCAGGGACCCCAGCAACACCAGCCACAGGTGCCACTGCCCACTCACCACCCATCTCCTCCCAGGCCTGGCCAGGGCTGCAGGACATTGGGACACCCCTTTCCCCCAGCACCCGCATCTAGAGCACGGCAAGGGCAGCACCCCCGGGGATCCCCAGGCCCTACCTTGTGCGTGAGCGAGTGCTGCTTGAGGTGGTGGATCTGGCTGAACTCCATCCCACACTCTGTGCAGACAAAGGGCCGGACGTTCTGGTGCTTCAGCATGTGGTTCTGCAGCTGGCTGCGGTAGTGGAAGGATTTGCTGCACTCCAGGCACTGGTAGAGCGTGGGGCCCTGGTGTGTGGCCAGGTGTCGCTTCAGCTGGGTGAGCGTGGAGAAATCCAGCCCGCACTCCACGCACACGTGGCAGCGCCCACTCTCGTGCTTCACCTCGTGCGCCTTCAGCTCGCTGGGGTAGGCAAAGCCACGGCCACAGAAGCGGCAGCTGTAGGGCTTGATGTCAGTGTGCAGCAGCATGTGCCGCTTCAGGTGGCTGGTCTGGGTGAAAGCTTTGCTGCACACCCCGCACTTGTGGGGCCGCGTGCCCTGGTGGGTCAGCAGGTGGGTCTGCAGGTGGCTGGGCTGCTTGAACAGCTTGTTGCAGTGTGGGCAGGAGTGGGGCTTGATGCCATTGTGGCCCAGGATGTGGGTCACCAGGTTGTACTTGGAGGTGTAGGACTTCTCGCACATGCGGCACTGCCAGCGCTTCTGGCGGTCCCCGGCCTCCACCAGGTAGGAGTCGTCGATCTGCACGTTTATGTCCAGCCGGTCCAGCTGCGCCTTCCTGCTGCGCTCACTGGTGCCACCGGCCACCTCTGCCTCCAGCTCCCCTGGCTCCTGCCAGCCACAGCCCTGCTCGCTCTTCACCTGCTCGGAGTCCCCTGGCGCAGGGGCCTCCACCTCACCAGGGGACGGGGCGCCCGCCTCGAACGTGCCTGTGGTCCGCAGGGCCCCCGCGGGGCCGCCGTCTGGGTCACCGCCCCCGCGGCGCCGCTCGGTGCCCTCCAGCTCCCGGTGCCGCCGCAGGTGCCGCAGGCGCCGGGGCTTCCTGCTGAAGGTGCCCAGGTCAATCATCTTCATGGCACCGCTATGCACTGCCGGCTCCTGGCCGGGCTCTGGGGGCTGGGGCGGGTGGCCTCGCTGCCCCTCGCCTTCGTCGTCCCCGGGGACTGACGTTTCTGCCTCCACCTCTGCCTTCTCACTCTTGACCTTGGGCACCAGCCTCACAGGTGGCCGCTTCCTCCTCCGGGCGTGCTTCTCCAGGGAGAACTCTGCTTCCAGGGTGTCCTCATCCTGCCCATCCCCGGGCACCTGCTCCTCGCCCTCAGGCTCCCCAGGCTCTGCCGTGGTGTTGTC